AGGTGTAAAAACTCCTGGCAAACTCATAAGTCAAGGTTGGATGCTGCAGCAACCAATAATGGGACAAGACAAAAGAACAACTTATAAGCAGCCATGGTACAGACATATTGGTTTTATTGGTATTATTTTATATAAACTGCACAATTAACATCGCCTATGCAGTTGAACTATGCAGTTTAACATCTTGAAATTGGATTGGGGAGAATGGTTACAGAGCTGGCACTAAAATGCTTCTCCACAACAGCAGACAAGAGAAAGATACGTGAGATTAAATCTACTAAAAGGGATAAAAAAAAGGCAGTCTGAAAACTGCTTCTGAGGTCATGCTTTCTGTTGCGGTTTGTTTCAATCTTCAGCTCTGCATTTAGAAATATAAATTTTTTCAAAATAAATAGGTAAGATACAGTTAGTTTTGCAACTCATAATTTGGCTATATGAGAATACCATCTTAGCTAACAACAGCTAATATTAGAATTAGCTGTTGAAAGAAAAAGAGCATCAAAACCCACAATCTTTATTATTTAACACCTTGTTTCACTTCATCGCAAAGCTTTGCCTTTTTCTACAGCTGCGAAAAGCTGAAGGACAACACCTCCACATATTTATGAGACTCTCCTCAAGTGGCAGCAAAACACTTAAATGTGTAGACGTGTTGAGATCTATGTTCGGTCCTCAGCAGTGTCTCGACCCTCAGTATGACACAGCGTTTTTGTTCTCTCACCTTGTTGCAGCAGCTCACTGAAGCAAGAGCACGAATTGACTCACTTCTGGGACACTTCTAACCTTACCTAACAGCCTGCAGCCAGCAAACAAACACACTATCACACTAAGATCTAAAGATCTGGCTTTATAAGTACCATATGTTAACATTAACACTAACATTCTATACTCACAGGGTACTGCTCAAGATAGTTATTGTGACATTTAGAGATGTCAGTTTCCCTTTCTCTGGCCTAAACTGAGCCAGTGAGTAAAAATGGGCTCATGCTTAGTTGACTCTTCTTTCCACCTCCCTGCACACTGTCTGGTCTTGTGCTTTCTAGTAAAATGTTCCCTGGAGCCCAGCGGCAACAAGTCGGGTCTGTTTCCAAATGCTACTGGTTTTAGTTGAACATTAAAATTTCATGTTTGCTTCTGGAATGTGAACTGATGGCAAATTTAGCTGACTTGTCAGATAAAAATCATCCAGGTCCAACAGCTGAAAGACATTATATATGTATATACTGTACATATATGTATATCAATCCACCCATTTTCATAACTGCTTATTCCTTAATGGGGTAGTATGTACATACATACATACATACATACATACATACATACATACATACATAC